TATGCATATTTACATACACGCCAATGTATTGCTCAATCCTTCCGATTTTTTTATGGCATTTGTCGCCAGCCGCTTGTCGTCAACGTAATGAAAGTGTCATAAATTATGCCACATTTGACGAAAGCGACATGCAACAATGTCCAACCAACTTCAGAGGGTAGCGCGCTGCCGCTAACCATCCATGTAACAACATAACAGAGCTCTTGGTGGCCCACGAAAAATATTCGCGGTATTAAGTGAACAGTTTACTTTTTGGTAAAACCTGACGGGGGAGAGCGCGCTGGTGCAAAGGTTGTAGCGTACATACGTATTTCGTTTCTGTGTTTAATAAATTTGTTTGTGTATGCTACAAATTACCATTGATTGTGTCGATTTGGCACATAAATTATCACTTTAGCCATTGATAGGTTTGCGTGATAATATTGTTGACCAATTTACTTTTAAATTATGCCATTAATTGAAATTGCACGTAATTTACCTTGTGCTTTTAAAGCATTCGTAATCGCCACGTTTAAACGGCTAATACTAATTTTGGGTGTAGAAAACGGAAATCATTTTCGATGTAGCTCAAGAATCTTTTAGCACTGTGACTCTAAGGAAAATTATAGTTTTAAAATTAGTTATAGGAGATATATTCTAACTGCTGTTCGTTGGAACGAGTTTGGTCTTCAATTCTGAGATAAAGAATTTATAAGCCGTTGGAGAATTGCATATAAGTGAAAATTTAGCAAAAGAAGTAAGCAATTTACGCCAGCTGGGAAACATCTTTTGTTGCATACTTCCAGACATACTGCTGGTTTAGGAAGCTAGAGAAATATTATTGATGCTGCGACCCTCTTAAAATTTAGGCCTATTAGTGTATCTTGGCAAAATCATAAGTATGCTAAGGTCATTTCATAGAGCTACTGCTAAAAAAATCCGGAAACGTAAAAAAATGTAAGGTGAATGTGAATGTGTAATGTTCCCAGGTGAGATTTCCTCCACCAATCCTTGCATGTCTTAAAAAAGTATGGGCTTTTGGTGAACCTAGTCAGTCTTTCGAACGAGTAGGCGACTAACCGTCCAGATCTTCAGAATTCGAATGCACATTTTTCAAAGTCCAGTCAAAGACATTTGTCCATATAGTCCAAAGAAACCGCCCATAGTTTGTAGTTGCCCATCATTCTTCTTCTTCTTATTTTGCGCTGTAACAGGCCTATGCGCTTTTGGCCGTGTTCAACAAAGCACGCCAGTCATTTCTCTTCTGCGCCAACTGATTGTCCTTCTGGACTTGGTCTTTCCATCGCAATGCGTGGCGGGACCCAAACCTAGTGCACACCTTGCAGACGAACCTACTGGTGCACAGACGCTGAAGACTTCACGGAGCCCTTAAACCGAATAAGTCGAAGTGGCCCCACCGCAGCTGCCCATAATTAGAGTTCCCAAAGCTTCTCGAATATTTCCTAATGATTAGAGCAAACTTCTGTTTTAGATGCTCTTTCGAGATGCATTTTTCTTCAAAACCAAATACAGATTGAAGCTGCGTTACTTATTATCTACATGAAGGTTTTTGATTTCAGTTTGATACAAATACACGAAGGCAAGTTTTGAAGTAGCGAGGTCCTTAGATATATCGATAACGATACGAACAAGTAAGTTATCGATAAATTTATCGCAATTATATTACTGATTATACCGACAAATTTGTCAACACCAATAATAATTGATAATAACATTAAATAATATTAAGATAGCAATAAAAATGAATATTTCGATATCAGTTTCAAAAACAACTTCGACAGATATATGCACATACGTATCGATAAGGTTCTCAACAAAAGATAGATACATATGTATGCTTGTTAATATGTGATTAAAACGGAAAATGTTTCGATAACAATATTTATCGTCGTTCAAATACAATAGTTTTACTGATAATATATCGTTAAAAAAAAATAAAATAAATCAATGTGCAATATTTTCAATAAATATTTCGATAAAGTATCAATAAAAGTTCATATTGATCATTATTAGTGATTAATTTATGCACAACGATATCGATAAACAGTCGCTTTGTATATCGATAAATAATTAATAATTATATCGATAAATAATCGATAAAAGCAAACAAAAAATATTTCGAATATTTTGTTATGTATTTTATTTATTTAATATGTTATGTATTTTATTTACCAACATTTTTAAGTTGATCGGTCCTATTTTTGTTCGATAACATTTGAACTTTTCTACTTTTCTCTATTAAATTTATCGTGACTTAGTTTATTCGTTTAGTACCAAAGTATTTTACATATACTGACATTCTAAGTTCTTTATAGAAACGTGCTTAAGTTTTAATATACATATTTTCCATACGAATAAATACCAGCACGTTTTTTCGTTTTCAACAACATAGCACATTCCAGTTGAATCTGACTTCCTTATTCTATCATGATTATCAGCTAAACACAATTGTCATAATTAATCGCAAAAGGCAGACAGCGTGACACCACTGCCGCATGTAATGGTTAATGCAAAAAAAAAATAAATAAAAACCGAAAAATTGCAAAAACTTTTAAGAAAAGCAAATAGTAAAAGGAACAAATGAACGCGGAAAACCGCATCAAGCCGCCATTACACGCATAGCACACAATTTCACAGATGATGAACAACGTCGTCACGTGACAAGCAAGCAATGCCACACAGCCCAAGCACATAGAATCTGCGGAGGCACAACACTGTACGAGGACAGCTGCTTTGCATACTAAAGCGGACGATGCAATGACGTTGACAAGCCGCGCAAAGGTGGCGGCGATGTGGCTGTCGTAGTCAACCGACAACCGCGGCCCACAAAATCCTTCCACCAATTACTTACCAGCCGCCCGGGCCAACCCACTTTGATGCATCGGTTCACTAGACAGATACACGAATACTTCTGTGTGTGTGTGTGTGTTTGTATAGCGCGGAGATCCGTCAGCCTTTTAATGACTATGCCAGCGAATGTGACCAAGATTATCTAAGGCGCGTATGAACTGGAGCTGTTGACTTCTAAGGAATGCAGCGAGTGAATAAAAATACTTTTAAAATTTACAGTGTCTAGTCAAGTGCAATTTTATTAATAATAAAAATGATCTGTGTATTTTTTAATATTTTAGTATACATACATATATGTATGTATATAATTAACGCTTCACATTCTGCTTATCTCATCAGCCCAAACTGAAGCTTTTCAAATTGTTGAATCCTTTCGATTTATCGATCTTGCCATGTAGCTGACCCTCGAAGAACACCTGTCCATTGGTGTGGAGCAACTTGATGTCTCCGAGAAATTTAGCTTCAGGCACATAACTCGGCAATGTCTCTTCATCGACACGGTATCCGCGCACTGTGTAGTTACCCTTCTTAACAGGACATCGCTTGATGAAATTACCCTGTTTCAGTAAATCTTCGTAAATTAGACGTAGTAGTGGCTCCATTGAATGCTGCTTAAGAAACTTGCAATAATTTATCGTACGATTCACGAGTGTTGTATAGTTGCTTTCGCCCAAGTCTAAAGCGATGGCATATTGGAGATAGAGATTATCGAGATCTTCATGTACTTCCACAGCAATGTCCAAATATGTATCGCCAGTCTTATTCTGGATCTCCAATTTACCGTCTAAGATTTCTGAGTGGAAGTGGTAGGGAAAAGAGTCGAAAATTACCTCAAAGGTGCGCTGAAAGGGAAGAGGGGAATGTAAATTACTTGAGAAAGTATTTAAATGAGAAAATGGTGTATGAAGGAAGGGATTTGGGGTGTGGCTACTTTAAAAAAGTTAGATAATAGTTTTAAGCAAAAAATATATCCAATCCAGCGTTGATCACAGATAGCTTTTATGCTGTGTATGCTTGTATGTTAGTGATGCTCAACACAGCGCCCACGGGCGCAACTCTTTACAGCTCTCTGTAGATTTTATATGGACACGCACAGAATAAAAGCTCTCTCTGAGCATCACTGCTGTATGTAACAGCAATGATCAGAGCGAGCTTTTATTCTGTACTCTTCCATATATAACAGATACGTCCAGAGCTTTTATAAAATCTACAGAAATATTTGAAAAGCGTCCTCGGCGAGATGTGTTTGGTCGTAACTGATATAAAACAGTAACGACCAGAGCTCCCTCCCATGTACATAATTTGCCCGCGGCCAGCCGGTGCCCATCATCGCCATAAAATTTCCACCCTAATTTATATATGTAAGTGGTTTTATAGCGAGATCGGAAATATGTCGAACAGTAATGCCCAAAATATGGCTCATGTACAAACCTTTTTAGAGCTTACATCATATTTTTATGGGGCGAACTGGGTAAAAGCTCTCTCTGATTGTCGCTGATTTTGAGTAAAGCATATGTATATGTAGTATGAAAAAATCATAGAGCGCCCAAAGCCAGGGTTAGAACTACGGCAAATCTAAATCGGAGTAAATGAAATTCCGCAATAGATATTTTTTATGTATACGATTCATTCTGTTTTAAGTCGGACGGATTTCGTAAAAAAAATTATGTCATGTCTCCGATTCGCTTCATAACATATGGGTTCTATACATAACATAAGCTAACACGAGTTTGAGGAATTTTTTTTTCTTTTTTTTCTTCGGAGATATGAATTTCAAAGTTTGCATTTTTGCGTGATTCTGACTAATCATGTACTTCTTCAAACCGTTATATCTCGGGTTCTGCTAATCGTAGAGACTTCTTCTTAACGTCGTTTTAAAGCCAAAGAACTGGCTTAATATTTCCATATATAAGATGATCAAGATTGTCCTAAAGCTAACTTAGCTATTAACAGTTGAACTTTTTGAAGTTGATTTGCATAGTGAAGACCAGTAAATTAGGGATTTAAAATTATACCATCGTAATCCTTGTTTAATTCTCTATAAAACGCGTGGTTCAAAAATGGGGGTTTTTCAAGAACTATTTTTAAAATATTTTTCTTTATGACGAGGTGGTTTATTTTGTGAAAATCAACAATTATTTGTAATTTTTTTCGAAAACTTATATTAAGATATATTTGGTAAGGTGTTAAACATCGGGTTTTCGCAAAAAGTAAAATTTTATTTCGGATTCCGATAGAATACCTATCCAGATATAATATTTGTATGGCAAGATTTTTCTTTAAGGCGATAAACCCCTAGAAATGGGCGTTGCAACTGCAGGACTAAGATTAGCAGAACGCAGATTTTATTGCGGATTTCGGCAAAATATCGCTTCGTTAACAATATTTGTTCCACAACTTTTTCAATCCATATAGATATTCTGGCGAAATCCAGAATAAAGTCTGAATTTTGGAACTTTGGTTTTAATATATCCACGCCTATTTCTAGAATATTCTTAAAAAAATTATTCGTCGGATAATTTCATAGAGTTCTTGAACAAACGAAGCACCAAAAATTAAAAATGAGATGTGCTTGATGACAAGGATACACATACCTTCTAAGTCAATAAAAATCAAAAACTTAGTAGGCCAATATCTCAATAAAAAAGGCGTGATAGAACAAAACTGAGAATACATTCATTTGAATACTATTTCATGGCCTTATAAATCTCTTTTTTTTTTAGAAAATTTCAGAAGTTAAATAATTACATACGTACAGTGTAATTGGAAGCCAATCACTCATTTACCTCTTCTATTAAAAAAAAAGTGTCGTTTTTTTAGAGGAAAATATCTTTGAAGGCCACATAAATTTTAAAAGCTACTTTAAAAAACGGACATAAGACAGTATTTTGAGTTCAGATACTGAAGTAAATGCTCATTATTATTTGGGAAAGAAATCGGAAGTAGATCGTGGGTAAAGCGGAGTAGCGTAGTAAATTTCTAATTTTCGTCAAAAATCGTAGCAAATCTACTACGATCGTAGTAAAGTTCTAACGCTGCCCAAAGCTATACAGCGTATTCGATTTGCCGGCATCGTAAGTGTTATGACAGAATTTTTTTACGATGGTTCTACATATGTACACTAAATGGGAATTTCGAAAATTTATCATCCGAGCAAAGAGGAAACCGAACCGATAATCCTAGACCTGGCTCATCGTTTTAAAGATGTCAGTGTACCTCAGTAATTCGGTGAAACCCTTGGCCAACAATGGTTTAATTTCTGTACCACCGAGTAGAGCCCCTCGAAAAAGTCTACGTTGGCAACGTTCGCCTGAGCAGCGACAGCAGCCAAAAAAAAAGTAGCGCCCATTGGCTGTTAGCCGAGAAGTTCACAGAAAATGTTTCCTTTTTATGAAGATCTCCACATACATACAATTACTGCCCGAGGTAGGCTTTCCATAAATACTAATTTTGTTTTCATCCGTGAAAATATGGGCTCGTGCATGACAATCGCACTTCCAGACCCTAAGCGGGCAAGTGGAAAAAACTTCCAAGTAGCCGGTGAGGTACTTAGTGATAAATTTTTTTGTGGTTGTTTCAACACTATCTTAGTAAGACCGTGGTGGTTCAGGATACGTCAAAGAAGACCGAACCGGTTGGAGTCCTGGTTTTTAGTGCTAAGGCTATTTATACAGGCCAACTTTAATCTTTAACTGGGGACTTCCTGTCCCAGCGGCTTCTGAGTTCGGTATTTAGTTTTTTTCTGGAATTGATCTTATTACAACCTTGACAACGTGCTTAATCTAAAATCCTTCCCACTCATGATAAAAATATCATCGCAGTTTTCCTCAATATCTTTCCCTCATTGAGTACTATTTTCCTAACTCATAATGAGCAAAACTTTACAAACCAACGCTCAATCTCGCTGTGATTTTTTCTTCTCTTATTTAGCGCCGAATCAAATTAATTACAAACTTTGCGACAATTAAAATGTTTTTACCATAATTAAATTCAGACAACGAGTAAATTAATAAAAATAAAAAATATATTTATGCACCTTCATATTTGCGATAAAAAATTTGTACAAAACTTACCCATCCCAAGGCGATTGGTGCACCGCACACAACTAAAGCTACCACAACAACAACGAGAATAGAGTTTGGTCTGACAGACACACAGTTAGCTGCTTGCAACTTCATAGCTACACAAAATTTAACTGATGCAAATTTGGCGAAAAGCTATAATTTTACTGGCGGACACAAGACAAACAAGAATATCACTAAAAAAAAAATAACAAAACGAAAACCTGAAAACGAAGTAAAAATATTTTTGCTGGCGGGGTGGAAAGTTTTTTGTTAAAAGAAAAAAATTAACAAAAAATATAGGAAACCAAAGATTTGATTATAATTTGTTTTAAATTATTATTTTGCATCGCTTTTTTAATTGTTCCAAAATGTTGTAGGATTTTACTTCTCTGCGCGATAACTGCAAATAATGGCGTCAAATGTCAGGCGGCTTTTAAAAATGGCGAAAAAGTGTTTATCATTGCAATTTTCATGGTTCACTGAAGCAGCAAATTTAAAAAAAAAGTTCAGAAATCATTCAGAACTGTAATTTGATCGGAAAATAACCGTGAAACTGGGGATATGCAAATAAGTATGTATGTATTTGTGGGTGTGTGGATATCTACAAAAACCTTCAAAATAAAAAAAAATTATTATTTTGATACATTTTCTGAATAGGGCGTTCTGCATCGCTGCTAGCGATGGTAGATTAGTGATAACGCCTTTATTTGAAATTTTAAAAGCTTTCAGCAAGACTAAATGACATTTTAATTTTTAGAGAATGCTATAAAAATGCGCGTAGGGAGCTTTGTGACACTAAAATAGCTGGATATTCCCAGTTAAAAAGTACTTTTTTCTCAAGTTGCGTCAGATATTTTTTCTTTTGAATATTCATTATCGTTTAGCAAAATGATGCCAGGCGCGACACTTGTTTGGTTGAATTTGATCTTCGTGTTGTACTGTGTTTTGGTAGCCGCGGAGGTAAACTAGTGATTTTATTATTGAGAAATTTAATTTATAATTTGTATTTAATGCTGTTTTTTTGCAGAAAGTAATGCGCCCCAATTTCAAGGAAGTCAAGGTTTGGAGTGATGATAAACATGTTTCGCATAAAATGGCCTTCGATCCGACAGATCCGCATATGAATTTTACGCTGCATGTGTTGAAGGTATTTGCAAGGCTATTTTTTCCGTTTAGATCACAATGACATTAGTGAATCTTATAAGCGAACTACTTTGGAAGCTAAAAGTGGTTAGCTGAAAATTTTGACCATTCTGTTCGTATGAAGTTTTATTAACTTTCATATTTATTTATTAACTTTCATAGCAACTTATATTGAATTTTTTTCCTAATTTCAATTAAATTCCTTCCGTTAGGACCTCCAAGACGTCGATATCCATACAGAGATTCGTTTCGTACAGAAAAACGATCCAACTTATCATTTCATGGCAAACACCACTATGAATTTGTGCCGTCTATTCAGTTGGCGTAATCTATCACCGATTGGTTCACTCATCCATAACTATTTGAATGAGTATGGAAATTTGATTGAGAAATGCCCGATTGTGAAGGTAAGCTATAACCATGGTGACCATCCGTACTTTATTTCAAAGGACATTCCTATTTCTCCTCATAATGCTGTCCTTTGACTTTATTTATTTCTCTAAAAATCTATGTTGGCCTTTATTTCAAAACTTGTCCTTTGAAAGTACTTTGCACTTAATCTGCTGGACAATCGTAAAAGTGACGTTTTAGATTACATTGCCTTATTTAGGGAAAGCTGGGGTAGTTGCACATAA